TTGTTGTTGTTGTTGTTCTTATTATTATTGTTGTTGTTGTTGTTGTTGTTCTTATTATTGTTGTTGTTGTTGTTGTTGTTGTTGTTGTTGTTGTTGTTTTGTTGCTGCTGCTGCTGCTGCTGTTGCTGCTGCCGATGTTGATGTTGTTGCTGCTGTTGTTATTGTTGCAGTTCGTGTTACTGCTGCTGCTGTTGTTGACCTCGTTAGGTGTACAGGTGCACCTTGGCAGTATGAATACTGTACCTGTATAGCAATAAATATTCTACACATCTAATAATATCGCTTCGAGCACTCCGTTTTCGCAACAGCACTATGTATAGCAAGAAGAACAAGCAATGATGATGGACAAACATTTCTTCGACCCACCTTCTGTGGAGGTGAGTTACTTCGGCCGAGAGCTAAGCCCTTGGCAGAATGCCCCCGCGCTGATCGGCGAGGGCCGCTTCGGGGAAGTCATGGCCTGAGAGGCTCCTCCCGGTTTAGGGTTTAGGGTTTAGGGTTTTGGTTTAGGGTTTAGGGTTTAGGGTTTATTCACGGCTATACCGCATGTTATTCTCAGTTGCGAATGCTGTTCTCAACGCTGTAGGATCAGTTTGAGCATGCTGAGAGTTGGAAGCCAAGCAAAGCGAGTTGCCCAGGTCTTCCGCGCGAAGCATCGGCAGAGTGGCTCATGGTACGCGGTGAAGGTGCCTTGTCAAGCACAGGCTACCTCTTTTTAGCTGGAGAACACAGTAACATGGCTCGTGCGACTGAGACTGCTTCCTTTTGACGATCGGCCTCACGAGACGACTTGCGAATTGCGATGATGATGATGATGAAAAAGAGCATGAGATGGATATTTTGGTGCCAAGTATGCCAGACAGAACTGGCACTCAAAACCAGGCCAACATTAGATGATCCGTGACGGTGTGGGTCCTGCCGCTGTGTGAGACCCAAGTGAATCACACAGCAGATGACGGCGAAGCTGTCTTCAGACCCAAGCGCAGGCGATGCAGGTGCGTTTTCCTGGGGTGGAGGGGAAAGCTTCGTTGGACGGAGCTCCCCGACACCCCTCCCGCCCCCCTGCATGAGAAATGAACATGGAAGCAAAGAAAACGGACGTGACCCGCCTTAGCTAATGATGATAGTTGCAGCCCACCCCCGAGGTTTTCAAGACACAACAGCGGCCTGTCGCTCCGGAGGTGGTGAGGGAGTGTGAGGCGCTGGCGTGGGTTTCCGAACTACAGTTCTGATTCAGAATTCCTAAGCTTCGCACTGACGCCTGTGTTGGCCCACAGGGTATGATGCAGTCCAGCAGACAAGATTGTCGTCACAGGTGGGGACGCACGTCCGTCAGACTCCACATCCCTGCATCGTTCGGCTGCACATGGTGAACTTGGACGACGTAGGACTGCCACTGAGAGGCGACTCGAAATACCCCAAGGTGGAAGGCAAGTAGCATTCCACGGAGGACTCTACACTCTTGTGATGGAGTTCTGCCATACAAATCTCCTACAACAACTTCGTCAAGCCAAGCGCGGACGCGGAGCAGCCTTCAGGCCGGGACAGAAGGCAAAGAAGCGCTCAGCTTTTGATTCGAGGCGAATTTGTAAAATTTGGGCCGCCGCACATCGGTGCAGGCCTCCGTCACAAACTCTCGACTGGGTTGGTCAGATCTTCCTTGGCCTGGAGCACATGCATCACAGGCGCGCGAGCAAAGCGCTCAGAGCTCCATTGCACCCGAATCCCAGAGACCCAAACCATCCTCATCGTCCCTTTCTTACCACACTTGATGGACGCCATAAGCGCGGCCCCAGTTTCAACTGCAGACAGGCTCAACACCATGTTCCGGGACTTGAAGCCTGATGCCTGGCTGCAGGGCCAGGGTAGTGAGCCATCAGGGACGGGAAGCTGTAAGCGGCTGGTTTTCTAAAGTAGGGTCACTTTTAGGAAGAGTGCCGCCTTATGCTGGGGACCGAAAAGGGGACGAAGGTGTTTTAGAGAATTACACAGGAAGTTGTTGCCGTTTGTTGGAAACAGAGTTTTCGGATGTAGGCCTGTGTCGGAAAGGTCTGAGTGCCACCGAAAATCGAAGTCCTCTGCCCAGGAAAACGTAGTCTTGGATGGCCAACTCTGCTGCAAGCTCGCCGACTTCGGTGCTGGGCGTTTGGGTCCCTCTTCTGGGACCTTCTCCTTTGGGCATCCGGCAGGCTCGCTGTGGGCGTCCTTCATATGTTTTGATATCGCCTCTTATACCTACCACCTGCTACGGTGGACATCACCAGCATCATGATCCTCATCTAGCATCAGCATCATTATCACAACCATCATCACTGCCATCACTGCCACCACCTACCGCATTGTCATCCTTGCAACCCCTGTCATCACCAAACTCGCCGGCCTCTTGGCCGTGTTCCAAGAGTTTTGTAGGTGGCATTCGGTGTCCTGTGATTCTTCGGGGAGTTGAGCATGCGCGCAAGTATCCTTGCAAGGTAGCCCTGGCTACATTGCGCCTGAGGTCCTTGGCCTGATCCTGAGCTCAGAACTTCCCAAGACCAATTTCCAAGACCAGCTGTTTAAACAGTGCCTCGATCCCCATGCAGATGCCGAGCGATGTCTTGGGCTGCATGTTGGAGCAGCCCTTCAACTCCAAACAGCTTCAGATGCCTAGGCGGGATGCCACACGATGAGGGTGCTGACCTCTACTCGCTGGGAGTGCCTCGGCCGGGGCTGGGGCATGCGATGCTCTGGGCTTTGGAGGTTGTCTTGTTTATGTCCCGGAACAGCACCGGCATTGCAAGGTGCTGGCCTGGCTGCTTTTCACTGGCGGGATGCCAAACGAGGCCTCCTGAACTCCCGAGAATCCCCAATTCAAGGTGCATAGGGGTCTATGGCCGGGTTTAAGGGGAAAGGAGTCTAAGGTTTGGGGTTTTGTCCATGCAGAGCCCTCATTTGTGTCAGGTGCCACCCATGGCAGGCCGAAGCGAGTGGCAGGTGCGCTGCATGCTGCTGTTATTTGGTCATTGAAGCCTTGCTTAATGAATCGCCGGCCTCACTCAATCACGAGGCGATGCGATCGGATAGAGAAGACAAGACAGTGCCGGGAGTTCCTGCTCCTGTCCTCTCTCCCCCCGCAGTCTTGCTCCATGTTTGTCAAAGCGCAGAGGCACACCTCTATGACTGGACACTGTTGGACCGCTGCATTCGCGACAACTTTCCTCCATTCCAAGGCGGCGGTCGTTTCTTAGCTTGGGGACTGGTGTTGCTAAACTCACACAGAGCTTAGCAGTGGGATTGGTGCTTCTTGCGTCTGGTGAGCAGCAAGAAGGCCCCCCAAGTTAAATTGGGAGCGACCCTCAACGACCCTAAAGCCCTTCGGCACTTCTCGGGATCTGCTCGGATCACCCCCACCGGGCCAGGAATGGAGTCGGCTGGGCCAAACCAGGCCAGTGAGGCCGGGGAAAGTGGGGCCTGACTATGCCTGAGTGAGGGTTGCAACCTTAGAGGGGCCACGCCGGGGGTTGTTGAAGTCGATTGTCGACTTGCCAGTCGATTATGTTTCAGCTTGTTCGGACAGCAAGACCGATGCCAGCATGGGATCTATGCCGGGACATGATCTAGGATGTTTTACGTCACATCGCAGTTTGCCGCACTTAAATCTGCTACACACTACATGATTCTCCTCCGAGAGACGTTTGGGGACATTGACATGGTGTTGCAGCAGGTTCTTGCCCGCAGCTGTGGCCCAGCAGAAAGGAAACCCTCTGTAGCTGGTCGTGCCTTCAGCGTTTCTTGGGGTCATTCCATGCCGGATCATGCCGGCGATGCTTAGCCGGAGACTTCTTTTTTGCCATGCGATCTCTTCCGTAAGCCTCGCTTCAAGCTGTCCAGCAGCGCTGGATGAGAGTCTCGATGGCATATCCGTGAACATGGTCCAGGTTCGGGCTGATGTCTTGGACTCCCGCCGCAAGAATAGATCAGTGGAGACTCACTGGCCCTACTGGTATCTTGTGGGTACCAACCACAAGACAGGAACCGAGCTGCTTAGATCCTTGGTTGGACGAGTGTTTTTGGTGCTCGGGGCCACCTACTCCTGCCAAGTGTCGCCAGCCGGTCCTTGGGGTCAACTCACCACCGACGGAATCCACAACTGCAGCGATTCCCCGGATGCACACATCCGCTTCGCCAAGGACGTCACACCCAACGACCTTACGACGGTCCGGCACCTCGCTGCGGCCGCTGCTGGGGAAATGCGTGCCGTGATGACGATCCGGGATCCTGCCGCCATGCTGGCATCTGCATACTGCTATCACCACCGTGGCATGGAGTACGGCTTGCAGCCTGCTCCTGATCGGAAACCGTGGCCATGGCCTGGTATCATGTCGATGGGTCCTGCTGAGGGAATGGAGGCCCTCTCAGATGGCATGTTCGGAGTGATCGAAAGCATGACAGAAGCAATGGAGATCGCTGATGTCAATGACACGCTGGTCCTACGCTTTGAAGATATAACACGGTCCTCAGAGGACTTCGACCGTTCGACAGCAGCGATTGTGGACTTTTTCTTTCAGGACTTCTTCTTGCAGGGGGTGATCCCTGCCGAGCTACGGAGCCAAATGCTGCTGGCGGCTCAAACAGCGGATCTGCACCGGACGACTGTGGACGAAGGTGCGCCAGGTGAAGCGCCTCATTCTAACGATAAAGACTGCGAGGAGGCAGCGATGACCACGCTGCCTTCGCTTACAGACGTGTATGCGCAGATCCAGGACGCAGAAGCCATGTTGACGAGTACCCCTTGCTTGCATAACTTCGTAACTGCTTAACTCCCCCAGTGTAACCCATATGTGCATGACTGTCGCTAGCTGGTAGCAAGCTGTTGTCGTCACATGTCGGGCCTCTCTCAGGAGTACCAGCGCCGCTTGGGGTACTTGGGAGCTTTCTGAAGACTGATTCGAAGCGACTTTTGATATGCCGTGCCGGATGACGACCATCCGAGCCTCGAGCCCGTTTCACGGTTCAAGAAGGTGAGACCGGTCAGAGCCAGCTCCCAGAACATGCTCGTCTGCTTGCAGATGTCATGAGCCACCTGCGGTGAGGCGCGGCAATTCGTGGACTTACTCATCAAGCCGCCGACAGCCCGCATGAGGCAGATCCAATAGCTAAATAGCTCTTCTAGCACATCCCACAGTATTGAGGCATCATGTCGAGAGGTGCTGCTCACCAGTCAAGAAGACTAGGCCGTTTCTCCCCGTCGCAATCTTGGTGATATCAGGCATGGGCAGATTCGGCACCACCCGCTGCTCCTGCCGCATCCTGGCAAAATGAAAATGTCGGGCCAAGCCCAGCCCTTTTGCCTGATGCCACCGGTTGTACTCTGTTTTACATATGCCGACATCTGCAACTTGGCGGGCGGCAGCTGCTGCACCTGTTGATGATGGTGATGATAAAGGTGATGGTCGCGCTGCTGCTGCCGCTGCCATTGCTGATGGTTGTGGTGGCCGTGGTGGTGGTGGTGGTCCTGGCGATATGATGACACTGATGATGAATGAGGTGGGTGCAGATTCCCAGGAGGTTGAAACAAGGTCGCGCCGAAAGATGCAAGCAGTGCTGCCGTGGGTGCCATGTTAGGATGTGATAATGATGATATGATGATACTGCAGTCGATGGTGATGGACATGGTGATGAAAGGGTACTGGTATGTACTGGTGCTAATGATGCAGATACTGCTGATGAAGACGGCAGTAGTGGTGTTAGTGGCAAGGATTATGGACTGTGAGAGCGACTGTGCTTGAAAGCTGGCTGAGACTTTCGATCGGCTGCGTTTTGCTGGCTTTTGATGGGTTGAGGTGGAAGCCCAGCCTAAGCTGGTATGTTGCGCTGCCGTCCTCAACCCCAGGATCCACTTGCCGGAGTTTGCTGCCGCGCCGCACCAGGCAAAGAACCCCGTGGGCGCGAGTCCTTCTCGTCTTAGCGCTTCAGTCTGATGTCAGCTGCTTCGTGTTCACCTCAGGCGTGAAGTCCACATTCAGAGCCAGACCCCAAACTGAGCCCCGACACCCTGACGCTTCAATAACCCTAAACCCCAAACCAGCAAGGCCACCATTGACCATTAAATGCCAGAATCTCAAAGCCCACATGCACTGCAAAGTCCTATAGACGCCGCAAGACCCAATTGCTCTCAGCCCAAGAAAGGTGGAGGAGTGGCTTCTGCAGCGAGGCTTCGCCAACCTAAACCAGCGCCCACGGCCGGCCTCCACGTCCTGGGGTTCCATCTCCTCAGGACAGCGTTTAGCATCGGGAGTTCCGGAAGGATGTTGAGGGATTTCGGGTTTTAGGATTTGGGGCTTAAGGGTTGGAGAGGTTTAGGGTCTAGCGTCTGTTCAAGTAGTGATCTCCGCAAACAACAACGCTGACAGGAGGCCGGTCAGCCGCCAGTGACACACTGCGTCAGGTCCTCAGAAAAACTTGCAAGTAATACAGCAGCTGTCTTTCTCTCGCTGTCCCAGGCTATGGCGGCTTTGCCTGAGGCATTTGCAGCACCTCCAGACCCTCCAAGTCGGCCTCCGCCCGCAGTCCCTTTGAAGCTGTGGAAAGAGTACAGGGAGGGGTGACCTCGTGTACAGCTTAGACGAGATGTGTGGGCAAGAGAAAGCTCTGGCATCTATGTGGTACAAGGCAGAAGCCGGTCTGATAAACATTCTGAGCTGACCACTACACTCCTCGTCTCTCATCGAAGAGAGCGTCTAGCAGGCTGCACATGGAATGTGGTCGTTCCCGTGTCCATGTGGAGCTGTTTCAATTTTGTTAGTGACCATGCGACTGATCCATCAGTCCCCCTCGAACTTGCAGGCAAGTTTCTGTCGGCTTTAGCTGCTGTTTCAGCGCGGGTTCTCTGAGCCCAAACTCCTCCGATTTCAGCGCTTCGCAGGAAAAGGGCCCTTTGGCACTCGTCTGTGCTGCCAACACCACCACCACCACCACTACTCATATACCCTTGAAGTGAAAGAGGTCTGAAGGGGGCTTGGACCTTTCGTCAAATGGGGCTCGAAGAGTCAGACGGCGTTGAAGGCTTGGGCTTCCTGGCCTGCTTACCGAACCTGTCGCTACAAGCCATTTTGGTTCAGAATTGGGAGTTGCCCAACGACCCGCAAGACCGTATGGATACCGCGCCATCTTGGTACGAAGGGCTCAAACCTTGGCCTTTTGCGATTGAAATTCTGTAATAATTGATATGGAGTGGCTCACACGAATATGTTTATATATTTAGAAATTTATGCTAGCGAAATTCACTTGAATAATTATGAAAAATATATTTTAAATAAGAAAAATAAGAAATGATCCAGAAAAATAGATAGAAAGAAAAAAAATATATATATATATATATTATGCTATTATAAGAAATAAATTCTAAGTTTTATTATATTTGAATAAACAAAATTATAGATTCTATATTGAATATAAAATATTTTTGAGAGATATTGATTCTTAAATACTTAGATATAATTTTAATTCTATATAAAATAGAATTATTATTTATATAATGTTTCGTCGTCTTATTTCATTAGAAATTAGGAAATAAGTCATATCGCATAATATATAAGCCATGGCAAGATATCCCTTGCGACCTCCAAGAGGCTTCATATAATAGGTCTCAACCATATTGACAAAGATCCGCCCCTGACAAGCTAATTCCGAAATAATTCTCACGGCCGGATATTATTAGTCAAGCTCTTAGCTAAGGCTTTGATACTATATTCAATATCTGGGATTATGATGACCTTCAGGACCTTAATTATTAATTTATTGATATATAGATATATATCCCTCACCGCCTGATAAAAATATAGTCGGATTTCTTAGCCACGATCTCAAAGATTAGAAGGAGCCCGTCTTTCTTATCCTCGGATATCCTTATTCGTCAATAGATCTCAGTGCTCTTCAAAGCCCTCCCCAAACTTTAATAATCGAGAGATATATCGGGAATTTCGGAAGCTCGCCCGCTGGATTGGTATGCCGAGTGATCGTAAATCAAAATATATTCATTATATTTAATTTTGCTTATAATTTATTCTTCGGTTAGCGTGCGACCTCTTTTTCTTCAATTATCAGATCATCTAATGAGGCAATCCCTAGGCGGGACCGCCCGCGTCAGGATTATCTGGGAGACAATTCATTTCAAAATCGTCGGCGGGACCCCCCGCGCGCCTAGTGGTGGAACTATTGGCGCCAGAAAATCGGTCCTATCGAAACTCAACGGCGCACCCTTGCCATTGGGCTTCGCTTGCAAGCGCTTGTGATGAGCAGGGCCATCCGCCGCCAGGATTTTCGTCTTCCGTTACCAACGTCTTGCTTGGCACCGTCTTATTTGCAGCTCATGAGGCTGCTAGAAAGTCTGGACCCTTAATCCTTTCGCGCTTTTTCAGAACGTTCGTAGGAAGCCAAAATATTCCCCTCTTCTTTCTCAGTTATATTACGCCTGTTATCTCGTTTAGCTCCTGCTCTACCCTTTTTTGGGCGTATATATCCAAAACCATATAGTGGACTCCAGGGCTAATCATCGTCTATATGCCTTTCGTGGCCGCTTGGCCACTCAGCATACTACAGAAAACGTGTCAGCACTTATTTGCAGCTGGCTTCTAAGCTTCTGGTTGCTAGCAAGAGGCTCCCCCACAACGGCCCAGGTCCCGAAACCCAAGAATCTAATAAAACACCGGAAAAGCCTTCACGAAATAGGTGAGATGTTGCCCCCGTGTCTGCAAGAATCTCACGCTATTTCGGGGGCAGGATACTGGCATCAAAATAGTCTAAATTATATTGTTTAAGGTGTTTCCGCCGGATATAACCACTTGCGAGATATCGTTGAATTCGCAGGGGATGATCTTTGTCGTAATCGTCGATCAGCTTAGACATCTTGAAGCCATCAATGTGGGCATCCTGCTCGGCCTTGCGTGCTGCTCTCCGCCAAAAGACGCGAGACCCCAACCATCCAAATTGAGGGTAACGTCGAACGCCTGCACAGTCAATTGAACGTTGCCCGGAGTTCATCGAAATGCCCGGGGTTCTCGTTGCCCGGAGTTCAATGAAAAGGACCTATGGCGGTGGGAGTGCTCGAAGTACCCAAAAGGAGGCGGAGGGAAGGAGGGAACCTAAAAAAAGAGAGGCTTCCTACAATTATAGGCCCCTTTTCAGGATCTGCAGATGATACGACACTTCGGAGAGGCTAGTTTCGGACTCTGATAAGAAAGTTTCTGAAGAATGGATTCCTCCCTTGATCGACACGAGATGTGATAGATTTAAATAGATCATAAATTCAGAGAGCTTCCATCGGGCAGGAGGGTGGTATTTCTTGGCGAGGATTGGAACTGACTTCTATGGGCTTAGGTGCCTTGTCATCAGGTTTGTGATAACATGCCTCTATACTCCCTAAAAGAAATAGCAGAAATGTGCTGTGCTACACGCAGCAGCCTGAAGCTTCCTCAGGCACGACGTGCGGTTGGAGGCTGAATATCTGAGTCCTCATCATGTTGCTGGGTATTGGGAACGATGCTAGAAGTCAGACTTGGTTGGGGCAAATCGAAATTGGACGACATGAGCTCTAACAGATGATCCTCGTATCGTGGAGTGATAAGAAAGGGCTTGCGTACTATGGGGAGTGATGTGCATCGTGGGCGTGGACGGCGGGCGAGAGCGGGTCGCAAGGAGTGTCGGGGAGTAGGGTGAGGGCATGTGCGTCCTGGGGGAAGTCGTGGAGTGGCGAATCGTGATGAGTGATGTAGAATGATGGGCGAATACTTGTGGGACGTATATCCTGAGTGGGGCTAGA